ACGCTGGCAGCCCAGGAGTCATCCTGGACTCCTCACTCTCTCTCTCACCCCCCCCCCCCCAATATCTAATATGGTACTAACACGAGGTCGATTTCACCTTTGTAGCATCTCTCAAGTACACTTCCTCCTCTCCTTTGACCCTGCCCTCATCACCCCACCCTTGGACTTTTGCAATAACCAGCAGGTGGGGCTGCCTGTCTCAAGTCTTTCAAAATCTAGTCCATACTCCACTCAACCACTAAAGTGATTTTCCTAAAACATAGGTTCATTTGAGTTACCCCCCTACTCAATAAACTCCAGTGGCTTTCAGGAGCAAATACAAATTGCTGTGTTTGGCATTCAGAGCCCTTCATCACCTGGCCCCCTCCTACCTTTCCTGCCTTCTAAAACCTCGCTCCCACCATGTACTCCTGGATACAGTGACTCTGGCCTCCTGGCTGCTCCACAACGCACACCCTCCATCTCTTGGCTCCAGGCCTTTATTCTCTCTGGCTGCCTCCCACACTTGGGACGCTCTCCCTGCTGTGATCCAACTGCTGACCTCTCTGGCTTCCTTTACATCCCAGCTAAAATCCTGCCCTCTGAATTCTAGTACCTTCCTTCTCTTAATTGGGTCTTATTTATCGGGCATAGAGCTTGTTTGTATTGTTTGCATGTTGTCTCACCATTAGATGGTGAACTCCTTGAGGGCAGGGACTGTCTTTGGTTTCTTTTTGTATCCCTAATGCTTAGTACACAGTAGGTGCTTAACAAATGTTTATTGATCAAATGATTGTCTTGTCCAGCTGGACCAAATTAAGGACTATATGAAAACCCACTAGACTTCACTGACTTTGGGTGCCCAGTTCTACCTTGGGCTCCAGTGAACCTGACCTGTTTGCATGCTCCCTGAGTATCTTTCTTTATTGTTAAGTATGGTCTTGTATTTTAAGTAAAGGTTGCAAATGGTGCAGTGGCCAGGGTTCTGGTGATGGAGTCAGGAAGACACAAGTTCAAATCTTGCCCAACACACTTCCTAGCTGTTATGACATTGGGCAAGTCACTTAACCTGTGTCTACCTCAGTTTCCTCATCTGTAAAATTAGGATAATAATCATACCTTCCTCCAGGGTTGTTGTGAAGATAAAATGAGATAAAATTTATAAAACACTTTACAAACCTTAAAGTGCTAGCTATTAGAAATCTGTCTCTTCAATAAATTGAGTTTGCTATACAAAGAAAGGAAGAAGAGAGGGATAAAGGAAAGAAAGAAGGAAACAGACATTTATTTAAGTGCCTTCTATATGCCAGGCACTCTGCTAAGCACTTCACAAATATTTCATTTGATCCTCACAACAATCCTGGGAGGTAGGTGCTGTTATGATGATCCCCATTTTACAGATGAGGAAACTGAGACAAATTATTATCACTAACAATCATAGTTGTTATTAATTATTCTCACCACCTTTCTCCTTTGCTCCTTCTTACTCATGTGCTGAACAGAGATGGACGAATTCATAGTACATGTTCCAAAGCTTTTTTTGTCTTTTCAGGAATTATGCCCTTCTTCCTGTCCTCACCTGTTCACCTTATATTTTATATTCGAGATGGAGACCAGTCTCAATGAACTCTCTGGCCTCTCCTCCAACTTGTCTCATGCCCCTACTCCCCTACTCCCTGCTCCTTTACTCCAGTCTCCAGTGAAGAGGTGGTCCTTCTCCTGGCCAAAGCCAATCCTGTTTCTCATTTTTCTCAGCTGCTTCAATAAAGGCAGAGATGGAACGCTGGATGAATTTGCAGGTGACCCAGTTGGGAGGGATGCCTAACACACTGGGTGACAGTCAGGATCTGAAGGGTCTTGACAGATTAAAGCATTGGGTGGAATCTAAGAAGATGGCCTTTGGGGAGGGGCTGGGAGGGGCAGTCAGTGGGAGAGACGAGGCTAGATGTCAGTGATTCTGAAATAGATGAGGTTCAGTAGAGATCAGTGAGGTGAGAATTACTTGCTCCACTGATGGTGATGTTTCCAGATTTCCCAGAAGGGGTTTGCTCCCCTGGGGGTTTGAGTGTGTCCAGAGACTCAGGCCTGGGAAATGATGGAACTGGGTTCTCATGAACTTCCATCTCTCCCACCTGTTTTCCTCCTGTCTCCACCAGAGCCTCTGTCAGGGCAGGAACTTTGTCCCTCTGTGGCTGCAGAGCTGGGTTCTGGGGGTCACGGGGAGGAGCAGATCCCTAAATCCCATTGGAGTTTTCTGAGTGCCATGTCTGAGGAGGTTAGGATGGGGTTGGATTTGGTTGCATCTAGAGCCTAGCGAAGATGTGATGTTTAGAGGTGATTTGAAAAAAATGCTTCAGAAAAGAGAAAATGAAAGAAATGTTGGGGTAGACGGAGATGTCCATGAAGTTCAGCCCAATCTCGGGATGCTTTTGTATTTCTTTTTTTTTTTTTTTTTTAAGGCAGTTGGGGTTAAGTGACTTGCCCAGGGTCACACAGCTAGTAAGTGTCAAGTATTTGGTCCGAGGCTGGATTTGAACTCAGGTCCTCCTGACTTCAGGGCCAGTGTTCTATCCACTGCGCCGCCTAGCTGCCCTTGGGATGCTTTTGTGCTGCCTAAAAACTACTTCCTTAAAACAAATTCCTCACTTGATCCCAGCAGCCCTGTCAAGTATCATCCTATACCTCCCCTCCTTTTCACTAGCTTTAAAAACCCATCATTATCCGTTATCTCCATTTTCTCACCGCCCCCTTCACTTCTCAGCCCTTTGCAATCTGCCTTCAGTGCCTATTAGTCCATTCAAGCTGCTTTACTGAAAGTCACCAGTGTTCCCACCCTTCCACCCCCACATCCAAAGCCTCCCTCCTGGCTCCATCCTCCTGGAGCCCTCTGTAGCCTTGGACACTGCTACCGTCCTTTCCTTCCGCGTCTCCCCTCCTATCTGGATTTTCACACTGCTGCCCTCTAGTGGTTCTCCTCCCTTTGTGACCATACTTTCTTTGCTTCACTTGCTTATTCCTCATCCAGGTCATGCCTACTAACTATGGGTGTACTTCAAGGCACTGTCCTCACCTCGGCTCTCTTTTTGTTGTTGTTCATCGTTTCAGTTGTATCTGACTCTCTGTGACCCCATTTGGGGTTCTCTTGGCCAAGGTACTGGAGTGGTTTGCCTTTTCCTTCTCCAACTCATTTTACAGATGAGGAAACTGAGGCACACAGGGTGAAGTGACTTGCCCAGGGTCACACAGCTAGTAAGTGTCTGAGGCCAGATTTGAACTCATTCCTGACTCCAGGTCAGGGTACTCTTATCCACTGTTTCTTAAGCAGCTCTTTTCTTTCTCTTTTTGACCTCATCAGTCCCCATAGGTTCAAAGATCATTTCCAGATCTGTAGATCCAGCCCCAGGGCAAGTCCTGTGGGCCAGTCACATGTTACCCATTTCTTAGTTATCTAGAACTAGATGGCCCGTTAGGCACCTCAAAGTCAACAGGATTGAGAAAAAGCTCTTCCTTACTAATGTTTCCCTGTTTCTGTGGAGCCCCTCCCTGAGCCGATACCCAGGATTCCAGCCCCAGATCTTCCTTGAAGCCCCACTCTCCCTCCTCCTCCAACCCGTTCCCCACCACTAGTCAATCAGCTGGCAGCTTTCAGTGCAACTCTGTGTTAAAAGCATCACCTCCCATGTATTGGATGGATAAAGTTGACAAAAATGGAAAATAACTGACCTGGGAGGGGCTTTGGTGGCCCTGTGAATTGGCACAGTCTTTCTGGATGACCAGAAGGATCTGTACCAAAATACACTGAAGTGAGCAGTAATGCAGCTAGCAAGCCTGCACCCAGCGAGATCAGAAAAAGAGGAAAAGGGCCCATATGTACAGAAGGGTTTATATAACTCTGTGTAGCAGCAACTAAGAACAGGGCTGAGATGGAGCCTGCTCATACCAATGCCAGAGGAGCCAATTGTTAAATTTTGAGTGTGAGTAGTTAGACCTCAGAAATCAGCAAAAGCTACAAATCAAGGCTTGATTTATTGCTTTGTTGATGTCTAGGATTGGAAAAAGTAATGGAGAAAATGTTAATAATGCAGTTCAAACTTTAAAAATGTTTCCTGCATATCTCTCTGTCTGTCTGTCTGTCTGTCTCTCCCTCCTCCCATAGAGTCAGTTGTTAAACATTTACCTAAACACCTAAGTCTTCTGATATGGTAGTGTGTTAACTGTTGAGGAGTGAATCCAGTCAAAGGATCAATGATTGGAGAGAAGTCCATTGAATTAGGCAGAAGATTAGACTGTACATCTTGACTGTACAATCTGTATAACCTCCCTTGAGGTTCAGCCTGGTGGTATGTGGCAATATCTTCTCCTTTCAGGCATTAGGAGGCCAGCCTCACAAGAGGAAGGAGCAGGCAGAGGCATGGGAGCCTGGTCAAGAGGCCGGGGTGCCCTACTACTTGTCTTGTAAAAAGTCCCATGGGGCCTGGACATTGAAGGGGTCTTGTCCACAGAGGACCCGAGGGTACTGGAGATGCTTCTGGGCCATGGCCCCGAGATTGGGCACAGGAAAGAAATCCAGTCGCTATTCTGGAGAAGCACCCTGTGGGAATCTACCAGCTTGAGTCCTGGTTCCAGAACGTTTCCTCTCGATCCTTGCTTGTCTTCAGATGCTTTTCCTTCCCTCCATCCTTTTCCACGAATTCATTTTGCTTGTTCTCAGGGTATGAATGCTATGCTAAATCTATTTTTCTGAACATCTCACATTTCAGTATTTTAGATGATTTCTCCTCACCCTCTGCAGAAAAAAAATACATCTTGGTCTTCCTGTTAGCTCTTTAGCTGCTGCCTTCTTGTCCCTCCTTTGCCTCTGATCACTGTGTCCCCAGAATGTCAGGACATATTTCAGTGAGCACAAAGCAGTGTGCTTCCTGACAGTGACGGCCATTCTCATTTGTATTACATCTCCTAACTTTCCTTTCTCCCAGCTCAGAGGAGAAGTTACATTCACAGTTTTTCTTACTATTTTTCAGATTTGGAACTGAGAGCTGAGAACACAGAGGAAACTGCCAGAAAGAACATTTCAGGAAAAGAATCCTCCCAAGGTATGAAAGTAGAAACTTCTTATTGTCAGTATATAATCCCAGAATTTCAGTTCTGCACCCCGCACTCCCACTGCATCTCAGTTATGACTCTTGTGTGTTGAACTTCAGAATGGCCCCTTCCTTCTGTTGTGCCCCCTGGAATGCTTGGTCCATAATGAACAAATAATCGTTTCGTGGTAAACCTCTTTCTTCGAGGCTCTTTTCTTCCTCTGGCGCTGAGATCTGCTTCAGTCTTCTTGCCTCATCCCCCTCTGCAGTGCTGCTTCCTTCTCTCTTAGCCCCCGACCCACTGATTGGGGGGGGGGGGATTCTGAATATGCTTTTCCTTTCATGGCCCTTTCCAAGCTTTTCCTTTGCCACTTGTACTAAGCACCCTCTCCTTCTCTGAGGGTGGGGACCCAATTCAGTTCCACATACCATTCCATCTCATGACTTTTCACCTTTTCACTGGCTGACCCCTGTGCCTAGAATTCTCTCCCTCCTCTTTTCCTCCTCCTTAATCTTAGTGCCTTCCTTGAGATTATCTCCAGTTTCTCCTGTAAATATCCTGCTTGTACACAGCTGTTTGCAAGCTGTCTCCCACCTTAGACTATTAATTCCTTGAGGGCAGGGGCTGTCTTTTGTCTTGCGTGGCATCCCTTTTACTTAGCACTGGAACATGGCAGACACTTAACAAATACTTGACTGACTGATGACCCTGCAATGAGATTTATCACTCAAACAGGATTCTGGCAGCTGTCATCCATCAACCTCCCAAGTCAGTCTCCTTCTTTCCTCAATGAGCTCAATACCTGGACCAGTCTCTCTCTCTGTACCAGGGGAGTTTCCATATGCATATGGATAATTCCTCACACATCCTCACTTCTCAGTTCTTCAGCCTACTCAGTTCTCTTGACTGATCTACTCTCTCACTGCACCTTAGCTATAGAGATGGTCGTATCTGTGACCTCACATCACACAGAAGTGTTCTACTTCCATGTTTATGAACTCTGGAAGTCTTTTATTTCATCATAACCTTTATCATTCCATCTTTTCCTTTGCCTTATGACTCCTACCTTTGTCCTTTGTCCTCATTATGACCTCTACACTGTCCATCCCTCAGTTATTTTCCAGGCCAGCACCTGGCACTGATCACCTTCTCCTCCCTTCCTCATCTTGACTCTTTGGTGAATCAGTTCAACTCTACATTATTGTTCTGGACTGTGTATTAGACATAATCCAGTCCTGTATCTCCAGCTGCCTTTTGGACATTTCATATTGTAGGCATTTCAATCTCAGCAGAGGAGAGAGGAGGGGAAGTGGAGGCCTGAGTATGTAGCCTGTTCAAGGAGTTTAACTGAGAAAGGCAGACAATCCTATTTCTTAGCACTGAGTGGCATAACCCTGCTCTCCTCACCTCTAACCTGGACTGTTACAATAAGTCTCCTAATTGGTTTCTCTAAAACCAGGCTCTTCCTTCTCAAATATGTCTCACATACAGATTTATACTCCTAAAGTAGTGTCACTCTTCTCAAACCTATGGGTTTCCCTATTCTCTTAAAGATAAGTTAAACAAACAAGTAAAAAACCACTCCCTGGTTTGCACATTAGTATTCATCCCCCTCTTGCTTTTAATGGTCTTTCCAGACTGAATTCAGATGACTCCCCCTCCTGTTCTCGATGTTCTATCCAAAATGGCCTCCTTGTTCTTCCTCATCCACCACATGTCATCTGTCTCCTCTCTTTGGACCTTGTACACACTGCCTGTTCTATGTGCCTAGAGTGCTGTAGGTCTAGCTCTTCAAATTCCTTTGTACTGGAGCTCACTCAGCTGGAGTCACTACCTTCAAGAGACCTTTGCTGATAAGAAGTCACTGTTTACATGAAGAATAGGATTAGGAGTCATCTAGCTTAGAGAAAAAGGAAGTGATAAAAGATTATGATCAGAAAGAGAAGCATGGAAAGTTAAGATAGATTTCACAGTCTCTAGGCAGCACTTTCAATAAGAAATTATCTGAATCCACATTGAACTTATTAATTATAACAGTGCATGTGAATGTTTTAAATTCCTTCATTAAATGAAAACACATTACAAAATGGACCAAGAAACAAAGAACTCCTCTTCCCCAGATGTTACGAGAAATATATTTAATACATATTCATATAGCTAGAACAAGTATGGCTAATTTTTCTCCCATTATGAATCCTCTCATGTTGGGTAAGGTTTGTATTGTATGAGAAGGTTTTCAGAATTTATTACATGTCTTTAAGAAACTTTTTTTTCAATTAACAAGCACTTATATTTCTCTCCCCATCTCACTCTCTCACTGGGGTTTTTAAAAAAAAAAAAGGAAAAAACTCTCGTAAGAAGTGTGCATAGTAAAGCAAAACGAATTCCCATGTTGGCCACGTAAAAATGTATATCTCATTTCGCAACTTGAGTCTGACACCTCTTTTAGAATATGGGTAACATTCTTTGTTATGGTTCTTTTGGATTTGTGATTGGTCTTTTCATTGATCAAAGTTCTTAAGTCTTTCAAAATTATTTGTATTTATAGTGTTGTTGTTATTGTATAAATTGTTTCCTGGTTCTCTTTACTTCACTATTTATCAGTTCATACAAGTCTTTCCAAGTTATCCAAAACCATCCTTTTCATCATTTTTTTGCAGGGGGGCTAGGCAATGGGGTTAAATGACTTGCCCAGGATCACACAGCTAGTAAGTGTGAAGTATCTGAGGGAAGATTTGAACTCAGGTCCTCCTGACTCAAAGACCAGTGCTCTATTCACTGTGCCACCTACTTGCCTCCCTTTCCATCATTTCTTAATGGATTAATGCATTTCCACTATTCACAACATAATTTGTTCAGTCATTCCCCAAATGATTCTCACTCCCACACCCTTTTTCCGTTCCCCCCTCCCCCACTACGAAAAGAGCTACTATAAATATTTTTGGACCAATGAATTCTTTTGTTCTTTCTTTGATCTCTTTGGGGTATAGGCCTACTAGTGGAATTTCTGTGGAAATGCACAAATTAATAACTTGGGGCATAATTCCAAATTGCTTTCCAGAATGGCTTGACAGAGGGGGGAACCTGCCACCTTGAGGCCACATGTGGCCTTCTAGATCCTTAAGTGTGGCCTTTTGACTGAATCCAAATTTTATAGAACAAATCCTTTTAATAAAATAATTTAATAATAATAAATAATTAATAATGAAAAATAATAAATAATAAAAGCTGCCAGTTCACAGCTCTACCAACAGTGAATTAATGTTCGTCAGTCCCTTCAACAGTGATAATTTTTTTTTAACTTTGCCAATCAGAGGTATAATGTGGAAGCTCAGAGTTGCTTGAATTTGCCTTTTTAATTCTGTAGTGATGGATAACATTTTTTCATAGGACTGTTTATACCTTGTATTTCTTCTGGTGAAAAGTGCCTGTTTATATCCTTTGATCATTTATATATCAATTGGAGAATTGCTCTTATATTTTTTTTCCCAATTAAGTGTTTATCTTCTAAGCTTATCTGACCTGTGCTAAAAAAGTGACCCACTATGATTTTTCAGTCTGGTGTGTTTTTAGATACTTGTGGAGCAGGTGTTCTAGAGAGCTTCCCTCTGGTACTCTGCCCTCTTGGTTGGTGTCTCCTTCCTTTACTACATCTCTGTGAATTTGCTCCAATATGGTTTCTGATTCTTCCTCCTTTCTTTATTAATAAGCAGCCCCAGATGCAGAAGGTACCTGGGATGTTTTAGTGGCTTCCCAGTTGGTCTTCCTGCATCCATCTTTCAAGTCTATCTAACATAACATGTAGAAATACACACACACACACACACACACACACACACACACACACACACACACA